GCATTTGGTCCACTTACTGGTCCTGACATTTCTCTGAGTCCTTTTGTTTTCTGTATTCATTTTTCTGTTTTTCAGAATGCATAATTTCTATTCAAGTTTCTCAATTCTTCATTTCATCAGCCAAAATCTACTGTTTTGCCACTCTAATGAACTTACATTTGGTCCTTGTACTTTTCAACTCCAGAACTTACACCGTCCCTTTTAAACAATTCTTTTTATTGATGTTCTCTATTTAATGAATCATCGCAACATCTCCTTTTAATTCTTTCTATAATAAGCCTAGAATCATTCTGTTAATATCCACAAAATAACTTGCTGTGCTTTTATCGGGATTGTGGTAAATGTATAGATCAAGTTGGGAATAATTAAATATGGATATTGAGGCTTCCCATCTGTGAACATAAAGCAAACATCACCAGATGTTTGTAATTTTCCTCTCTCTCTCTCTTTTTTTTTTTTTAAAGATTTTATTTATTTATTTGAGAAGTAGATTTACAGAGAGTAAGAGGGAGAGACAGAGAGAAAGGTCTTCCTTCCATTGGTTCACCCCCCAAATGGCCGCACCGCCTGGTGCTGCGCCAATCTGAAGCCAGGAGCCAGGTGCTTCCTCCTGGTCTCCCATGCGGGTGCAGGCCCCAACACTTGGGCCATCCTCCACTGCACTCCCAGGCCACAGCAGAGAGCTAGACTGGAAGTGGAGCAACCGGGACTAGAACCAGCGTCCATATGGGATGCCGGCGCTGCAGATGAAGGACTAACCTACTGTGCCATTGCGCTGGCCTCTCTCTTATGTATCTTGTATATATTTTGTTAGATTTACATTAAAGTTTTCTCATTTTTGGTGCTATTGTAAATGACACTTTTTAAAAATGAAATTGTTTTAAATTTTATATCCTGATTGTTTACTACTGCTATGTAGGAGAGCATTTTTCTTGTATTACCCTTGTATTCTGAAATTACTGTAACTGCTTTTCTGTTGATTCTTTTGCATTTTTTACCTAATCATGTTACCTATGAATAGGCATATTTCTTCTTTTCCATTCTCCATATATTTTGTTTTCTTGACTTATTGCAGTACCTATGGACTTTCTAGTATGTAGAAGTGGTGAGAAGTGAAATCCATGCACTCCTGATCCTACTGGGAAAGCATCCAGTCAGTAACTATAAAGCACTGTCGGCGGCATTCTTTTTGTTGTTTGATTTTAATTCTTGGTTCTTTATCATGAGGTCCATTTCTAGTTTGCTTAGAGTTTTTAATTCATGAATTGGTGTTGGATTCTCTCAAATGCTTTTTTCTCTGAATCTACTGATATGGTCATGCGACTTTTCTTATTTAACCTGTTAATATAATACACTATGTTTTTCGAATGCTGAATGAGCCTGGAACAAATCTCACTTGCCGATTGTGTCTGTTTGTTGGATTTGATTTGCTAATACAATGTTGAGGATTTATGCACCTATGTTCACAACAGATACTGTTATAACATTTTCCTTTCTTGCATTATCTTTTATTTTTGGCAGCAGGGGAGGTCATCAGGATGTTAGCAAATATTCCGTCTGTCCAGACGTTTTGGAAAGCTTTAATTGCTGATTCAATTCTAACAGACACAAGCCTGTTCAGATTATTTCTTCTTGTGTGAGCTTTGCTAGGCTGTCTTTCAAGAAATTTATTTAAGTCATCAAATTTGTGGGCAAAGAGCTGTTCATAGTATTCCTTTAATACATATCTATATATATCTATATATATAGATATATATAACACCTATAGGTTTTATATGGCCTTTTAAAAATTTCTGGTATTAGTAACTTATGTCTTCTCTCAGTCTAGCTAGAGGTTCATCTATTTTTATTAATCTTTTCAAAGAATCAGTTTTTGGATCAAGTTTTTCTATTCACTTTGTTTTCAATTTTATTGATTTCTGCTGATTTTCATCATTTTCTCTGGATTCTTTAGATTTAACTTGCTATTCTTTTTCTAGTCTCCTAAACTAGAAGTTAAGACTAATAATTTTAGATTTTCTTTAATATAAATATGCACTCGATTCTATGAATTTCTCTCAAAACACTTCTTTGGTAAGCTGTATCTTAAACTTCACTTACTGTGAGACACTTAGGTTTCTTCTCTGACCCATGTGTTGTCTAGAATAGTGTGGTTTAATCTGCAGGTATTTGAGGATTTTCTGTCACTGGTTTCTATTTTATTCCACAGTTGTCCGAAGGTGCACTTTGCATTTTTACTCTTTTGAAATTTGTTAAGGAGTGTCTTCTGGTTATCCATATTAGTGAAATGTTTAGTGTGAGCTTGAGAGGAATGTACATTCTGCTGTTATTGAATGAAGAAGTCTATAGGTGTCAATTATATCTGGTTGGTTGGTTTTTAGTCCAACTGTGTTCTTAGTGATTTTCTGACTGTGGAATTTGCCAATTTACTGATAGAGGATTGTTTGTCTTTAACTATAATAATTTATTCACCTTTTTCTCTGCAGTTTTTTGTCTCATGCATTTTTCTGCGTTGTTAGAATGTGCACACATGCTAAGGATTTTATTTGTAGAGAATGGACCCCTTGATCGTTATGCAATGCCTCTCTATGTAACTTTTCTGAATATAGCTACCTCAACTTCCTTTTTACGATTTAGCATGGCATATCTATTCTTCTCCCTCCCTTTCTCTTTTTTTAGTCAGGGTGACTCTCAAAGGCATTCTCCATTTGTTAGTTTTTTAGTTCTAGCTTTCATTTTGGTTCTTTTATTACCCATCTGTTCTTACATGTTGTATACTTTTTCCATTACAGCTCTTGGCACATTAAACATCATTATTCTAAATTCCTAGTCTGTTAAGTCCAACATCCCTGCCATATCTGAATCTGGTTCTGATGCTCATTTTGTCCCTTCCAAATGTGCTATTATCTTTCATTTTTTGTTGAACACGATACACTGAACAAAAGGAACTCCAGGGGACATGCTTTAGTGAAGTGGTGACTTGTCTATTTCAGGGGGGCGCATTCTATATCCTATGATTAGAACTTTTAGATTTTAGTGAGCCTGGTCCCTGGACTCAGATCTTCACAAGTGCTTCTCAGTTTTCCTCTTCTCCCAACTCCTGTTTAGGTCAAACAGGAAGGATATACTAGGCTGAAGCTGACTTTGTCCCCTAGTTAGGCTGTGGTAAAAACCCAATGTGACTGAATTCTAACAAAACAGTTTCACGTTCAGGCTTTTGTTAAGGAAAAAGAGAATTCTCTGGGCCTACTGGGACTCCTGGAGGTAAAATTCATAATTTTCTTAACCCCACAAAGTCTGGCTTCCAGGCTTTTTTCTCTCACGTTACTCCATTCTCAGTCTCTAGCAATTAGTTAATTACCTTTAAGTATTCCTATACAACGCTGCCTACAGCGGTGGTTTCTAGACAGACTCTCCTCCAGGGAAATGGGGATTCTCTGTTCTTTTCTATGTCTCCAGTTTTCAGGAGAAACCATGATGGTTTGTCCCATGAACCTCAATTGTCTGATATATCAAAGAGCTGATTTTCAGTTTTTCAACTTTTTTGTTAGGATGGTATGACTTCCAAGTTTCTTACATGTCAAACTGAAAATCAGATGTCCTTCATGCTGCCTTTAATTTTCCAGACTGCTTATAGCGTTTTCCATATCAGCAACGTGTAATAGATCTAGTTTCTCTATATCCTTGCCAGCATTTGGTATGATCATTATTTTTTTATTTTAGCTGCTCTAATAGATGGCGCAGTGATTTCTCAATGTGGTTTAAATTTGTATTTTCCTAATGGTTAGTGACATCAAACATCTTTTACTTGTGCTTGTCATCCATATAGATCCTCTTCAGTGTAATATCTCACTGTTTTTTGGCTATTTTCTAATTAAAATTTTTTAAATTTTCCAAGTTCTTTGTATATTCTAGATATGAGTCTTTCACCAGACACGTGGTCTACAAATATTAATTCTCAGTACATAGGTTCTTTCAATCTTTTAACAGAGTCTTCAGGAAGCAAAAGTTTGTGATTCTGATGAAGTAAATTTGTCAAATTTTTCTTTTATGATTTTTTTTTTGGTAAGAACGTCCTAACAAGAACAATTTGCTAAGTCCAGAACACTTTCCACTATGTTTTTTACTAATATTTTTATTGTTTTCTTTTCCAATTAAATTAATTATACATTTTTAAGATAATTTTTGTTCAAAGAGATTCGGATGAAAACTTCTTTTTTTTTTAATCTCTAAGAAATCCTATTACTTCCATGGTTAACTTACATCTTACAAATCATCTCTCTCACAAATTATCTTCACTAGATAAATCAGCTTACTTTCCATGTTGCTAACACTAGCCTACTAAAAGGAATACAGATTTTGATAGGACAGGAGTAGATTTATAATATTTTGCCAACTGTCATAGGAATATTTCAGTTGCGACTTTAGATGTCTGGAATTCAGCACGAAAATACCAAAAGGCAGGGAAACAAGTGAAAAGGAGAAAATGAGACAGAAAAAATTTAACTTCCCTCAAGTCTACCCTTTTGCCTAGAGATCAGATCATAGCAAATCCAAAGTTAAAAGCAAACAAAAAGCTAGAGGGTCAATTTGCATGCAAATTATACTAAGGCATAAAGCATATTTCCCAAATTATAGTAATCTGTAGATTACCTCAACAAATTTGCCTTATCTGCTTATAATCATATACTACCACATGATTTTGGCTTACCCAGGAATAATTTAGTTTTCTTAAATGTTTAAAGGTATAATATAATCATCAGGTGATGCTTTGTAGACTAACTACCCAGTATGTGACATATTATAAATAAAACAGACTCTTATTAGATTGTTACCACTATTATTTTCCTACATACGTGTGGTATAAAATCAGTTTGACTTTAATATGAGAATTTGGATCCAAACCTACTGTTCTCATTAGCAAGCATAGCAAAGTAACAAAATGTTGCCCTAGTGGCTACTCGAAAAGGAATGTGGATGGTAGTCAAAGAACAGAATCATTTTTTAGTGTAGTATTCACAGCTTTACTGAAAAGTATAAAATGTATAGAGACAATACTGTTATTTCATTTGCAAATTAAATAGCTGAGAAGTATAGATTAGAACATGACTTTTATCAAAATTATCCACTATCAAATTATTCATATCCAGTTTTCTGCAGATTTGGGATTTTTCCCACTGGATTAATAACATATAGTGGGAAATCCAATTGATAACATTCTCATTAAAAAAAAATCAGGAAAATCAAGTTTTCTTAAGAATTTCCGGATTTTTGTCCTTGGAGGAGGTCAGGATCTTCCCAAGGCCTGGGTCCTCGAATATTCTTCCAATCATCAAAAGTAGAGTCCTTTATTTTCTATTGAACCACAAAAATGAAAGAATACATATTAGTAAAGCTCCATGGCTTTGCTTAGGACATTGCTGAATGATAAATGAAGGAAGATAATCCACTGGGCCCTCAATTATAACTTTAGCAAATAAACCAACTGCAGATCATACATAATAACTGAAGAAATGCCTTATTTCCCAGGATTTAGAACTTTTCTTCCCTGCCATTGACGTTAATGCCCATCCTTTCCTATATAGTAATAAAATCATTAAAATACAAAGAGTCTATGCACCTTATTTTTGAGAGCACAAAGAAAGGGAAGACTCTAGGAACACAAGAGTATAAACCTGAGGGCTGATCCAGCATAATAATGACTAAAGGATGAGCATGGGTGACGGCAGAGAGGAGCAAAGGCACAGATCCTAAAGTCTTCTAGAAGGAAAAGAGAGACAAAGATGACTTGTCTTTGCCAAGATGTAAGTCTAGGCTTTAGAATGAAAAAACCTTCCCCACAGCTACTCTGAGCCAAACCCTTTTGGGCAATCAAAAGTAACTTCAGCTATAGTCTGGATTATCCTGCCTTCACTGCCTGCAGTGTCTGTCTCTCAAGCACAGGACTGAAGGGAGGAAGAAAGGGAACCACATACACATGGGTATACTTCAAAAGTTCATGGAAACGGAATCAAAAATAAACTTATTTTGATGCAAAGCCTTCTGAAATCCGCTCACATGCATGGTCTTCAAAACTTCATGGAAAATGCATAATATTAAAACACTGTGCATGGATTTCAAAATGTTTTTGTACCAAAATAAACATATGGCTTGGGCCTGGTGCTGTGGTGCAGCGGGTTAAAGCCCCATCCTGCAGCATTCACATCCTATATGGGCACTGGTTCGAGTCTCAGCTGCTCCAATTCCAATCCAAGTCTCTGCTATGGCCTGGGCAAGCAGCAGAAGACGGCCCAAGTCCTTGGGCCCCTGCAACCACGTGGGAGACCTGGGGGAGGCTCCTGGCTTTGGATCAGCACAGCTCTGGCTATTGCGGTCATTTGGGGAGTGAACCAGCGCAATGAAAGTCCTCTTTCTCTTTGGCTCTACCTCTCTCTGTAACTCTTTCAAATAAATAAAATAATTCTTAAAAAAAAAAAAAAACCATATGTCTTAATTCTACTTCTCCAAGAACTTTCAGAAGTACTCTCATATTTCTTCACTCTTTTGTTGCTGACCTGACAGTATCTTTTATGCATCTTCTATTTGGAATATTCTGGAATAACTGAATAAGCTAGAAAATAGAAGCAGAGAAAACACAAGATAGTGTATATCCAAATACAGACAACATGGTATTAATTTACCTTAGTTAACACTTGGATTCTAAGCATTAGTTTTATACTAACTAGTTGGATTATCTTTTTTTTTTTTTTTTTTTTTGACAGGCAGAGTGGACAGTGAGAGAGAGAGAGAGACAGAGAGAACAGTCTTCCTTTTGCTGTTGGTTCACCCTCTAATGGCCGCCGCGGCCGGTGTGCTGCGGCTGGCGCACCGTGCTGATCCGAAGCCAGGAGCCAGGTGCTTCCTCCTGGTCTCCCATGGGGTGCAGGGCCCAAGGACTTGGGCCATCCTCCACTGCACTCCCGGGCCACAGCAGAGAGCTGGACTGGAAGAGGAGCGACTGGGACAGAATCCGGCGCCCCGACCGGGACTAGAACCCGGGGTGCCGGCGCCGCAGGCAGAGGAGTAGCCTATTGAGCTGCAGCGCCGGCTAACTAGTTGGATTATCTTAAGCAAATGATTTAAGCTGTCTGGGCATTAGTTTCCTCAAAAGTAACAGTGAAAAGGGTAGATCACATAATCTATATTAGTTTCCTTAGTTCTCAAATTCACTGGTTTCTAAAAGAATTACAAGGAGAATCTAGTCCCAAACCCTTCATAACATCACTACTGGCACAGTATGACTATATGAATGGTCTTAAAAAGTTCATATAAAAATGCATATTATTAAAAAAACATGGATTTCAAAACAATTTTGCTAACAAAATAATCTTTTAATTGATTCAATTTTCCATGAACTTTCTGGAGTACCCTCATGTATCTGCAAGTAGCACACTACAATTTTTACCAAGATACAGAGAAGCAGTAAATGAAAATCCTGAGTAATTTTGCTTATAGTTTTACAAAGAATCTGCAAAAAGTGTATTTGGAGGAATAAAATTCTGTTAATATGCAAGAAGAGGGTAAAGTATTTTCAATTACGGTTATGAAATCAGCCTCAGTTATGAAAAGTTTTTAATAGAATAAATTTATTCAGATAACAGAAGATAAATATGCTTAAGAGAAATAAAATGGCTCTTGGATGAGATGCAGAGTTAGCAGAACGCATATTAAATTCGGTCCAGTCTTCAGAGATCTTTTGAAAGGAAGATTCCCTGTAGAAATTCTCCAACACAGGCAGAGGGACTAAAAAGTGGGCTGTTACGTGCTGGGCAAGACCACCGAGACTCACTGTTTAACAGCCGACTGCTACAGCACTGACTGTGGAGCAAGTGAAGTAATGCTGAGGAGAAGCAGTGTCACGAGTATTGGATCCAGCCAGAGTGGAGATTGTTCCTCACTGCCTTGTTACCCTGACATCCAGTAAGACACTTTCTAACAGGCTGCTCTTAAGGAATAAAAGATTATGTCCAAGAGTAAAACTTTTTTAAACACATCTCAAAATTTAAAACCAAGCCCTGACAAGATTCCCTGGGTAGATAGGCTGGAGACTGAGCCCAAAAGGGGCCTACAAAACACTGTGGCCTTTACATAGATTCTCCTTCATAAAGCACAAAAACAAAATAAGAAAAACATCGCTATCCACCGCCCACCACCAAAAAAAAAAAAAAAAAACAAAAAAAACCAAAACAAAACAAAAAAAAAAACCACAAACACCAATTCAAGGTGACTGGACAATAATTAAACTCCTGCTAAGAGGAAAATCAAGACTCACCAGAAATCTCTTCACTGTGTTATTCAGGGTCCAAACTTTCAATCAAAAATGACCACATATAAAAAATAGCAGGCAAATATGGTCCACTCCAAAAAGTGAGCAAACCAGAAAAGATGAAGAGTGTCCTCCCTCACACAATGTGCTGATAAACTTTTTGATTTCTGCTAATCACATGATCTCATTTCAATTTTTATATCCATTCCTATTTTAATTTGAATATCTGTCCATGTTAAAAAATGATACTTATTTTTCTTTTCCTCTATATTCTCACATGCTTTGCCAAAGTTCCTACTGATCAACTGAGCTGATAGACTTTTCATATTGATTTTCAGGTGCTATTCATATTTAAATGAATTAATCAGCCATAATAAGATGAAAATATTCCCAGGATTTCTAATTTGTTGATTTTATTACATCATTTTTTAGGCTGAACGCCTAAAATTTCAGGTGTGAAATTACCAATCTTTATTTTTATAGCTTTTGGTTTTGTTTAATACTAGGCTTTCAGACTCAAGACCACGAAAAAAAGTCTCCAGTTTTTTTCTTCCAGGATTTATAGGATTCTGTTTTTTTATTAAAAATTTCCTGGTCTGTCTGAAATCTACTTATTCACCATAAGTGAAAATGGATCCATCCTTATTTTCTTTTCAAATGACTATATGCAGGTTGAACATTACTAACTTGAAAATCTGAAATTCTAAATACTCTGAAACACAAAACTTTTTGAATGCTGATAAAATAGGAAAAGATTTAAAATTTGGCAAACATTCCATTAGGGATGTTCAATCGGTGAAGACTGCAAATATTCCAAAATTAAAAAAAAAAAAAAAAACACTCCAAAATCTGAAATGTCTATGGTCTCAAGCATTTCAGGTAAGGGATACTTAATCTGTAGTTTGCCAGATACCATATATTTGAGATACGTGATTTTTTTCTGCACTAGTAACAACTTAAGTTTATGTTAGGGAAGATCACTAACTAGAAAGATCATTATAAAATAAAGGATAATAACATACAGTACCTCATACTCTGACTCCAAAGAAACTTTATTCATTTTCAGTTTTTTTTCCAATTCAGGATCAATCTGTAGAAAAGAGATTGGAATCATAAATTATTTAAATCTGCTAGATTCAATTTTTAATTCTGAAAGTTACAGAATGGATGGCTAAGATAGTATGTCCAATACAAACATGCAAAACCTCTACCATCCACTCAACTACATAATCATAAATAATGTAGCACCCACTACCACAATGAATGTACCACTACAGCCAACAGTAGCTAATATTCACTGAACATTTGTTATAAGCCAGGCATTTTGATACCAACTACCTTGTGTAATCCTCACAAAGCTTGTATTGTTTTCTTAAAAGGACAAATGTAAAAATAGTACCCATAAAGTAAAAGAGAAATAAAATAGGCTACATTTAAATTTAAGAAATTTGTTCATCAAAAGATACTACTAACGAAGTAACGACTAAAAGGTTTATAATCCAGCATGCATAAAAAATTCTCAGAAAACAGCAAGAGGGGCCTTTACTTGCTGTGGCCTAGCAAGTAAAGCTGAAGTCTGTGGGACCAGCATCCCATATGGGCACTGGTTCCAGTCTCAGCTGCTCCCACTTCCTATCCAGCTCCTGGCTAATGTGCCGGGAAAAGCAGCAGAAGGTGGCTCGAGTACTTGGGTCCCTGCACCAATGTGAAAGACCCAGAAGAAGCTTCTGGCTTTGGACTGGCCTAGCTCTATCTGTTGCAGCCATTTGGGGAGTGAACCAGTGGGTGGAAGATCTCTCTTTCTCTGTAACTCTTCTTTTCAAATAAATAAATAAATAAATCTTTAATAAAAAAAGAGTAACAGCAAGTTCAAAACTCTAGCAGAAAAAAAAAATGGGTGACAGAGCTGAATAGACATACCACAGAAGATATATAAAATAGGAAATAAAAATGGTCAAGACATAAAAAAGTGATCAGCCTCATGGAAAATTGAAATTCACAACATAACGAAATAATAATTCATAACACACCCAACAAAATGGCTTAACAACAAAAAAACAGGTAGGTGTCATGGCCCAGTAGGTTAAGCCACCACTTGAACACCAGTAACCCATAACCAAGTGCTGATTGGAGCCCCAGCTACTCCAATTCCCACCCAGTTTCCTGCTGATGTAGTGAATGATGCCACAAGATTTGGGTTTCTGCCACCCACGTAAGAGATTTGGATGGAGTTCCGGGCTCCTGTCTTCAGCCTAGCCCCAGCCTTGGCTGCTGTGGGCATTTGGGGAGTGAACCAGTGGATGAAAGATCTCTGTCATTCTGTCCTTCAAACAAACAAACATATAAACAAATAAATCCAATAGAAAAAAATACCAGACAGGACTAAGTATTACCAAGTTTTTGAGGTGGTAAGAATAACAAATTTTTGGTAAGAGTACAAACTGATATAACCACTTTGAAAAACTGTTTGGCATTATCAAATGAAGCTGCAATATGATACATATACCCTATGACCGAGCAACTGCTTTTCTGTACAAGAGAAAATTATACAAGAATGTTCAGAGCACCAAAATAATTCTCAGTAGCCAAAACCACAAATCACTCTAAATGCCTATCAACAGTAAAACAGATAAATAAATAATGGCATAATTTGTGGAATACTATTTAGCAATGAAAAATCTTGGGGTCGAGCCGGCGCCGTGGCTCAATAGGCTAATCCTCCACCTTGCGGCGCCGGCACACCGGGTTCTAGTCCCGGTTGGGGCGCCGGATTCTGTCCCGGTTGCCCCTCTTCCAGGCCAGCTCTCTGCTATGGCCAGGGAGTGCAGTGGAGGATGGCCCAGGTGCTTGGGCCCTGCACCCCATGGGAGACCAGGAAAAGCACCTGGCTCCTGGCTCCTGCCAGGATCAGCGCGGTGCGCCGGCTGCAGCGGCGGCCATTGGAGGGTGAACCAACGGCAAAAAGGAAGACCTTTCTCTCTCTGTCTCTCTCTCTCACTGTCCACTCTGCCTGTCAAAAAAAAAAAAAAAAAAAAAAAAAAAAGAAAGAAAAATCTTGGGGTCAGCAAAATATGGCCCATGTAACAAATATGGTCCAACCCTTATTTTTGCAAAAGAAGCTGTATTTGAGCTTATGTTTATCTATGACTGCTTTTGTACTTTACCAACTGAGTTGAGCAGCTGTGAAAGCTCAAAGAGTCTAAAATTGAAATCTGGCTCTTTACAGAAAAAGCTTGCTGATCCTTAAGAGTTAAAATATAGCATAAGCTATTGGCACAGATACTGAAGCAATAACCGTTGGGAGAGAAAACCAAGCATTGGGTTTGGGATTGTCACGTGTCATGTGTCACGTCACGTGGATAAAAACAGGATGTCGGGGTATTACAACATTTAATAAACAATTAAATGGATAATTCAGAACTAAAACAACACAGTAAATGAAATCACAATATTCAAAGGATGGCTTTAGTAAAAGATTGGACACAGCAAGTGGCAGGTTTAGAGACTAGAAGATAAAACAATAGAAAATATACAAATTAAATTACAGAAAGAAAAAAGAATGAGGAATAAACAAAACATAAAAAGCATAATAGAAATATTATGTCCATTATAGGAGGTCAAGAGATCCAGTAACAAAGTTTCTCCTTCTGTTTATCCACAGGATTTCTGATTCAGAAAAATGAAACTTTATTTACTTTTATAGATCAATCAAGAAAACAATATAACATTGAATGTTCTTGTTAACATAGTATACAAGCTAATTCAGTAGCTGCTATTATAGATTGAGTACTGGTTTTTGGTGGAAGGATGAGTAAATTTATCATCACTTTGTAAGTACTTGCCTTTTTCATCCTGCATCTGAGAGACTGTCTTCAAATATTTTCACATCTCTGTCTCCAATATGCCCAATTTAAATTCTTCTTTGCATATTAGGCTGTAAGTATGCTCTGTATGCTATTTATCTCCCTAATCCACTTGTATGTGTCTTTCTATCTGTCATTAAAATAGAAGTTATTTGACCTCTATTTCAGCGGTGTTTGAACCATACTGGTACTGGTATTGTAACTGCTATCATTTTATTATCTGAATCTTAGGAAACATGGACATATATCTATAATACCCCTTTACAAGGCACAGCAGACAGGTAAAACCAAAGATTGTTACTGCTCACAACTGCAATGTACTTAAATTGTACACTTAAATTGCAGTACTCAGTGTGGTGAAACAATGGATGACCCATTGCAGAGGACTTACAGTTGTTCGCAGTCTCCAGTCTCAAGCCCTTTTGACTTCAGCATTCTTGTCCTTGAGACCCCACCTTGACTTCAAACTCTTCTGAGCACCATCAACCCCAATCTTATCATCTCCATCCATAAGGACAACAGTCATCCTTTCAGGCTCATTTACACTGTATGAACTCAACCTCACCAGAACATTGACTCTTAACTTCAGCTTAGTTTGATTTCTCAACATCAACCAACCCCAATCTCTCAGTCTCAGTAGGCCTTTCCTTTTCATCTTCCTCCTATACACCTGACCTCATTCTCTTAACAATATTCTCGACTTCAGCTTTAAAAAAATTATCTATTTTCAGTTTTATTTGGAAGCCAGAGACATAGAGAGACAGAGAGACAAAGAGAGATCTTCTATCCATTGCCATATACCCCAAATGCTTGCAACAGCCAGGGCTGGGCAGGGCTCAAACCAGGAGCCCAGAACTCAATCTAGTTTTCCCACATGGGCGGCAGGGACCCAAGCACTTGGGCCATCTTCTACTGCTTTCCCAGGCCATCAGCAGGGAGCTGGATTGGAAGTAGAGCAGCAGGGACTTGAACTGGCATCCAGATGGGATGCCAGGACTGCAGCAGAGGCTTAACCTACTTCTCCACGGTGCTGGCCCTATACCTCTCTTCTTAAAGGGAAAGAGAAAAACTCCTTGATAAAGTACTTGGGATGCTAATTAAAATCTTTTAACAAAATTTAAATTGAAAACTGTTAGCTGAAGTTATTCAGTGAGACTCAAAATCTGTTCCCTCATAAAAACCAATATATTCTTTTTAAATTTAATGTTTATTCTAATACCTACTAGTGTTGGTTTCTCTCAAACTACAAAATTAAGAAAAGTGAATAGGCTTTTTTTAATTATTATTATTTGACAGGTAGAGTTATAGACAGTGAAAGGGAGACAGAAAGGTCTTCCTTCCGTTGGTTCACTCCCCTAATGGCTGCTATGGCCGGCGCTGCACCGATAGGAAGCCAGGAGCCGGGCACTTCCTCCCGGTCTCCCATGTGGGTGCAGGGACCCAAGCACTTGGGCCATCCTCCGCTGCCCTCCTGGGCCACAGCAGAGAGCTGGATTGGAAGAGGAGCAACCAGGACTAAATACTATCTTCTCTGCAGATTTCTCTGCCCTAAAATAGAGTCTCTCAGAGCATGATTGGATGCTGACTGAAAACAGCAGCATGTCTCAAAGGAAGCCAATTTGATTTTGTTTCTTAACTTTCCCAGGCTCCTGGCTTTGGGCTGGTCCAGTCCTGGCTGTTGCAGGCATTTGGGGAATGAACTAGCAGGTGGGTGATTTATCTCTGTCTCTTTTTCTTTGTCTCTGTTTTTCATACAAAATGAAAATAAAACAAAATTTTTTAAAAAAAGAGCACAAAGATCATTCAATCATAATTAGCTTTGAAAAGCAAGACAAACTCAGACTGTGTGGTGTTCTGATTACACACTTCCCCTAAGCCAGTACATATACAAGATACATATCAAACTCCAATTAGAATTCTTACTTTAATCTTCACAGCATCATATCGGATTTGTGAAAACTCACGAAGACCAAAAGAACCTCCAACAATCAGCAACTGAAAAAAAAGAAACAATCAAACAAAATAACAACACAGAATTCAGTCTATCCATAGATCACTTATGTAAACATTATAGACAGATTATACAAAATCCTACAGATTATTTTTCCTGGTGAGTCACCATTCACCTCTTCAGAGTAGATGGAGTACATACAGGAGATACACATATTGACAGAGGATACATTCTAAGATGTCCATACATGCCCAAAACTCTATATACTATGTTTTCTCTATATACTAAGTATTTTCCCATACCCACATACTCATGATAAAATTTAACTTATAAATTAGGTATAGTAATATATAAACAACAATAATAAATAGAATAATACTGTAATAAAAGTAATTTTTAAGCAGGAATTATTTATTTCTGAAATTTTCCTTTTAATATTTTTGGATCGTGGTTGACTATGAGCTGTAACTAAAACTGTGGAAAATGAACCCTCGGATAAGAGAGGATTACTGTCTCAGAAACATTAAAGCACATCATGACCTAAAACAAAGTCAGAACACCACTGCTGTACCTGACCTGATGGTTAAAATGACATCATGACCAGCATTCTATTATTTGAGCCTTACAACAGACCTATCAACTGAGGGAGGGGGATGTATTAGATGAGGAAATAAAAGCACAGCTAACTAAATGATTTGCTCACTGTTAAATTAAATTTGGCATTTAGTTGTCTCTTTACTTGGAGTTCTTATGTAACCTAACTTAGTAGGTAAAAAAACAAAACCTGATCAACTTATGAGTGCAAGTACAAATAAAGTAAACATCTACTTGTAACCTATCTAGCTATTGTACATTACTTCCTAATTACGTCTGCAAATACCCATCGCCCATGTTGCAGAAAGTAGCTCCCCGAACCTCTTCTGGTTCTGAGTGTTGCCTGATTTATGAATCTTCCTTGCACAAATAAACCCCAAACCTACCTGGTGTTACTCCCTCATGCTAAAGCTGCAAAAGTCTAAAAAAAATAAAGTTACCTTCCTTTTTACATCAATATATTTATATTAATTAAAGAAAAATATAGTAAGGTATAAAACATAACATATAAGCGTATATAATTTTGAAGTTGGAAATATCAACAAAACTTAAGTCTATGAATCTCAAACCCAGTAAGTGGGACCACATAAATGAACTTAAAACAACAAAAAGCAAGGACGATCAAGAGAAATTTCTGTTATACAAAGCAGCTAATATCTGCAAGAATTCTTTGTGTAAGTAAAATAAGTTATGTCTCTTAGCTTCAATAAAAAATATACACCACTGCCTTTCCTACTTCCTCTCTGCTCCTTTTATTCATTCTTCCTCCCCTTCATAAAGTTGGAGTACCTTACAAGGCTCACTCTTTATACCTCTTCTACCTATTTCCAACCAACACTGAGTCCCAAGGTGATGTGATCCAGTTCCACAGATTTTTTTTTTTTTTTTTTTTTTTTTTTTTTTTTTTTTTTTGACAGGCAGAGTGGACAGTGAGAGAGAGACAGAGAGAAAGGTCTTCCTTTTGCCGTTGGTTCACCCTCCAATGGCCGCCGCGGCCAGCGCGCTGCGGCCGGCGCACCGCGCTGATCCGATGGCAGGAGCCAGGAGCCAGGTGCTTTTCCTGGTCTCCCATGGGGTGCAGGGCCCAAGCACCTGGGCCATCCTCCACTGCACTCCCTGGCCACAGCAGAGGGCTGGCCTGGAAGAGGGGCAACCGGGACAGAATCCGGCGCCCCGACCGGGACTAGAACCCGGTGTGCCGGCGCCGCTAGGCGGAGGATTAGCCTAGTGAGCCGCGGCGCCGGCCCCAGTTCCACAGATTTAAACAACCTCTATAACTGAGCAACCTCTAAATGTACATTTTTAATGGAAAATATACAGTGAACTGAAAACCTGCCTTCCTATTTGACTTCTTCTCTTGAAAATCTAATAAGTAGGGGCTGGCATTGTGGCACAGTGGGGTTAAGCTGCCACTTGGAGCACCAGCATCCCAAATGGACACTGGTTCTAATTCCAACTGCTCCATTTCCGATCCAGCTCCCTGCAATGGAGGATGGCCCAAGTGCTCGGGCTCCTGAACCCATGTGGGAGACCCAGATGAAGCTCCTGGCTTTGGCCTGGCCATTTGGGGAGTGGGGAGTGAACCAGAAGATGGGAATCACTCACTCCCTTTCTCACCTTCTCTCTGTGTAATCCTGATTTTCAAATAAATAATCTTTTTTTAAAAAGATAAAAAAGTCTGATAGGTATATACACTTCAATATGAAAGAATAAATCATGATATTTACTTCAACTCCCTTTCAGTTCTAACCTGCCTCTCACCAATTTTCACATACCAATAAATGTCAATTACATTCATCCAGTTCTTCCAGTCTGCTTCTTTGGAACCACCTATAGCTCCCATTCATATCTCACACACAAGGTACTTCAAAACGTTCATGGAGAGGCATGCATTTGGCATAGAGCCATAATGCTGCTTGGAAAGACTACATCCCATACTGGAAAGCTTGGTTCGTATCCCAGCTCTGCTCCTGATTCCTGTTCCTGCTAGTATGCACCCTAGGAGGCCTATGTGATGGCTCAAGTAGTTGGGTCTCTGCTACCCAAGTGATAGACCCATACTAAATTCCTGGCTCCTGGCTGCAGCCTGGAGCTCTTGTGCCAGCTCTTGTGGGCATTAGAGGCTGCTGTGGGTATTTGAAGAGCGAAAAAGTAGATGGATCTGTCTTTCCCCCCTCTCTGCCTTTCAAATAAATAAAAATTAAATTAAATTTAAAAAGATGCAATCAAAGTTTTCAATCAATGCTCACAGAAATTGAGATTAAGAATGAGCTTATTTAGGTGCAAAATTCTGAAATCCATGCAAAGGCAAGGAAAGTAGTATTAGCAAATGGTGGACAGTCCAAGTCCTCTTCTATATGATATTAAAGATTTATATAAAGTATTAATGTTTATCCAAGAGAGAAAGCAATATTAACTTGAGGATGAATGTAATATAGTAATAATGGCATATCTGATTTATTCACAACAAAGAAATACATCTTGAGTTCTTTCCAGAAATGTCAAATTTTACAGCACTGAACACAGCATTTTCCTCTATAAAATTATAGACAGGTCGAGGGCTCATATTCAGAACCACAGTCCTCCAGGTCTAGTATAGACAGAGAGAGCAGATGTCAGCTGGAAGAAAATCACTGTGGCACTTTGCACTTTCTGGGGGGTGGGGGGAAGCTCTAGAAGGTACTTCCATGCATAGCAATTTTAAGACCTTGGTTTGACAATTTTGAAAGATAAGAAACAAAACCAAATTGGCTTCCTTTGAGACATGCTGCTGTTCTCAGTCAGCATCCAATCATGCTCTGAGAGACTCTATTTTAGGGCAGAGAAATCTGCAGAGAAGATAGCATTTACACACGCCCTGTCATTTACACAAATATATTGGCTAAGATATCTTATAAAGTTATTTTTAAATTTTGAATTTATTATCATTTTATTTGAAAGGTAAAGAGACAAACAGAGATCACCCACCCACGATTCACTCCCCAGTTGCCTGCAATGTCCAGAGCTGGGACAGGCTGAAGCCAGGAGCCTGGATCTCAATGCAGGTCACCCATGGTGGTGACAGGGACCCAATCACTTGGGTCATCACCTATTGCTTCCCAGGGTGTGCATGAGCAGGAAGCTACAACTGGAAACTGAGTGGGGAGTGAAACCCAGGCACTCCCACACAGGATGCAGCATCTCAAGCAGCAGCTTAACTGTTTCCCAAACATTCATCCTGAAACAGTCATTTTTAAACTTATAAAAACTGACAGTTTCCTGAAGATGAATCAAAATTCCAAGTCAGCAGGCCGGCGACCTGGTGTAGTAGGTTAATCCTCCGCTGGAGGCACCAGCATTCCATGTGGGCGCCGGTTCTAGTCCCGGCTGTTCCTCTTCCCATCCAGCTCTCTGCTATGGCCTGGGATAGCAGTAGAAGATGGCCCAAGTCCTTGGGCCCCTGCACCCACGTGGGAGACCAGGAAGAATCTCTTGGCTCCTGGCTTCGGATTGGTGCAGCTCTGGCCATTGCAGCCATCTGGGGAGTGAACCAGCGGATGGAAGACCTCTCTGTCTCTTCTCTCACTGTAACTCTTTCAAATAAAATAAATAAAATCTTTAAAAAATTAAAAATTGCAAGTCATCAAAGATGAGTGAAAAATATCCATTACCTTTCTAAAGTCATTTCTTCCCTTTAGTCCTGCTTAAATGCAAAAGCTAGTAACTTTACCTGTACTAACATTCATACCAAGGTAACACACTGCTGTGTATTTAAAAACAACAACAAAAAAAGCAAACAGCCTTTTTTTTTTTTTTTACCATGACTTCAAAGTTTGCTGAAACCAAGTAAGTTGCCCATGGCAAACCAGCAAATCAAATGAGTTGTGCCGATTCCAGCTGCGGTTGGTCTTGTGTCAGCAGCCTGAACCTTCGTCCTCCCGACATCGTCAGGCGATTCAGTATAAAATTCCCTGCGACTCCGTTAAGCATCAAAGCTGCTTGCAGACCGCTTTAGACGCACCACAGCGACCACTTGTGGGCTACTGCCAGGCCGCAGGCGCCGCGCTAAACAGTTTATTCACAACGCCTTATTTGGCTCATCAAACCTCGGAAGAATTAAAGCAGTTCACAAACGAGGACGTTTAAACGGGGAGGCATTAGAAACTGCAGAGTTAAATTATCAGGCTGGGGATCCACCTGGAGAGCTAACGGAGTCCTCAGCTACAAGCAAATACATCTATTCCCGGTGATACAGGAACAGGAGCGGGGTGGATTGGGATGGAGGGTGGTGATCTCGTTCTCGGAGTTCCAGTTCAGAGAAATGCGACTGGCCGTAGGGAAGACAACACGCTCACAAGCGCGCAGACGCTGGCTGGGGACCGGGGTGAGGGGACCCGAGGTGATGAGTGTGAGACAGCCTCCAAGTCCGGTCTCAAACTCTCGCCCGGCCTTCCCGGCCCAGGGGTCCGTCCTCGGCACCCAGCGCTACGGAGGCCCCACCCCTTCCGGAACCCCGGCCCCGCACTGTCCTCTCTCCACTTACCAACATGGGAACTCCGTACCGAAGGGTCTTGTTCTTGCGCAGGGCGCGCATCACCGCGGGGGCAAGCATGGCACAACTTCCCCACTCACCTAGGCGCCCTTCCCTGCCGGCCCGACCCCACGCTCCCGCCCGGCGCGGGACGTCCGTCACTCACCTCCCTCCCTCCGCAGTTCCGTGCATGGTCCTCCTCGCAAAGGCCTCCGCCAGCCCAAAGCAATCGATTCCTAGTAACATATTCGCGCGTCGGCACAGAAACTGTTCCGGAACTTTGGTTCCGGAACACCCGCGTACAGTTGTCATTTGGGAACTTGAATCCGGTTCCGGGTAACCAACAAATTGATATTGAAACCGGTGCCTCACTTCTATCTTCCTCACTTCTGCTGGAAGTTGTCAGAGGCATAAATGATAGATTTAAGTCTTGACAAAGGTCTTCTTAGAACAGTCCCTGGCAGATGGCCATTCGATAAAATTAGCTAAGAAAAAGTGTTCTGAAGCTATTACTCCAAGCTCGAAAGCTATTTGTGAGGTGGAGAATTTACCAGCTTAATACAAACTTTTGAAATTAAGTCGCTAGAAAAGTTAGATTGAGTATAGTCAGTGTAGTATCTTTTTTTTTTTTTTTTCTTTTTTTGACAGGCAGAGTAGACAGTGAGAGAGAGAGACAGAGAGAAAGGTCTTCCTTTTGCCGTTGGTTCACTCTCCAATGGCCGCCGCGGCCAGCGCACTGTGGCTGGCGCACCGCGCTGATCTGATGGCAGGAGCCAGGTGCTTCTCCTGGTCTCCCATGGGGTGCAGGGCCCAAGCACCTGGGCCATCCTCCACTGCACTCCCGGGCCACAGCAGAGAGCTGGCCTGGAAGAGGAGCAACCGGGACAGAATCCGGCGCCCCGACCGAGACTAGAACCCGGTGTGCCAGCGTCGCAAGGCGGAGGATTAGCCTAGTGAGCCACGAGTGTAGTATCTTATCGCTTAGCACAGAACCCTTTACATAAATGCTTTCACAGTAAGATAGTTTATATTCCTCAGTCATTTCTGAACGCCTGGCTTCCACGACTCCTCAAGAATAAAGCCCATCTGCATGCATGTCTTTGGAAGGCTCTAGGAATACTGAGATGAAGACATGATGTACACTTTGAAGAAATTGGCAGTCCAATGACAAATGGACATAGGTCTAAGGTACTGTGACAGTTTAGGAAACAGTTGCCCTGAGTGCCGTTTGCCAGAATGAATCAGAAGAAGCCTTGCCCGAGCGCAGGTGACATACGGTCACGCCTTCCGTGCTATACCTGAAATCTTTCCATCTGCCACTGTCCTTCTAATGCTGCTGAAATATCCCTGGTTTACTCCCTTATCATACTCTTTCCAGCTGTTAAAGCTATCTCCAGAGGAGAACTCCAGATGCACTTTAGGCAGTTCCAGTGACATCTGTGTCTATAGTATTATAGGTGAAAACACCAAAAAGAAGAAAAGAAACAGAAACAATTTAAGTTATCTTTAAATCTATCTTCTGCACTACTGAAAATCATCTAGGAGACAAACAATGGTGAGATTCTCCTTTTACCCTGTGTTCACTCCAGTTTTAGCAAAGAATTTAAGACCCTCTGCAATATGACTTTGGTCTGCTTTTTTTGGCCATTGTTCATTCTATACCACCCTGGAGGAGATACTATGTCTTGAGGATTCCTTGAACTTCCACATCTTCAAAATGGTGTTCCAGGGACACCAGTTCTTGATGTCTCCCTTATTCCATAGGCAATGTAAATTATTCCTTCCTCACAGCTCTTGTGGCCTTTGATATATAAATATAACTATAAATAAATATATGTATATGTGTGTATATATATATAAAGTCATTATCACTCTGACAAGCACATAGGCAAGATGAAAACAGGAGAATGGAAAGAATACTTCAGAGCTTGAATTTGAACTTTGGAACAACAAAAAGCAGAAACTGCATTGATCCAAGGGAGACTGTGGAGTGATCAGGATACATTTATTAAAATAAAACTCTCTGCTAATTTCTTCATTTTCTTCTGTTTCTCCGTCTGACTAAGGAAGAGGACTTGCAAACATGGGAACTGGAGTAGGAGAAAGATCAGAGCCTGAAATAATCTTCCGCAGGTGTCCCCAACCATATCTGATAGGGGCTCTTGTTTTTGTTAACAGAGCCACACGCTGCAAAAAGAGGGTCCAGTCAACAATGGACCACTTTCGTGGTGGCTCCATAGATTATAATGGAGCTGAAAAATTCCTATCACTTAGTAGCTTTACTCTACCTTCTCTAGTTTTATATAAATATCATTGTTACATTGCTGACAGTATTCAGAATAGTGACACGCTACACAGATTTGCAGCTAGGATTAGTAGGCTGAACTATATATGTATAGTGTAGGCTATACCATCCAGGTTTGTGTAGGTACACTCTATGATGTTCACACAGTGATGAAATAGACTGACATTTATTAGAACATATCCCTGTTAAAAGGGAATGCATCACTACACAGCTTTACTTAAAGTCATCCCTTTTGCTTAAATATTGTCTGGTTGCTTTCACACAAGTGTAAAGACCAAAGCCCTGTAAGTCTAAAATATTTACATCTAAAATATTTGGATATTTAAGGAAAAGTGTGTTGACCCCCAGTATTTGGGTTTGAAGTTCTTTCTGTGGTTGATTAAAAAAATACCCATGGGGCCTGAGCTATGGCACAGCGTGTAAAGCCACCACCTGCAGCACCAGCATTACATAAGGGTGCAGGTTCAAGTCCCAGCTGCTCCACTTCTGATTCAGCTCCCTGCTAATGTGCCTGGGAAAGCAGTGGAAGATGGACCAAGTGTTTGGGCCCCTGTACCCAATGGGAGACCCAGAAGCAGCTCCTGGATCCTGGCTTCAGTCTGGCCTGGCCCTGGCTGTTGAGGCCACTTGGGGAGTGAACCAGCAGATTAAAGGCCTCTGTAACTTGGCCTTTCAAATAAATAAATCATAAAAAGATGCCCTTACAATCTATATACCACTCCAATCAGGAAGTGGAATTGAAGGTCCTTTCCACAATGACTCCAGGTTTGGCCATGACTTGATCTGGCCAATGAAGACATCAGCAAATGTGACAAATGCAAAGGTTTGATAAATGCTTTCACATTGGGGTCTGCCTTTTTGGAACCCTCGCCTGAGATGCCCCCAGTACTGTAAAGAAGTAGTCTGTTGGGAGCAGAGAGGCCACATGGAGACCCACGGAAGCGCCCTTATCAGTAGAAGCACTCATTGCCAGACATGTGAGGAAAATCTTGCACTACCCACCCCGATGTACATGAGAGTTGCCCATGGTAATATCAACAGAACAGGCAGCTTTCAGAATCTTTTAAAATATTGTTGCTTTAAGTCACTTAGTTTTGTAGTGGTTATGTAACTGGGTAATTGTGTCCATGAGGGGAAAAATGGCCATTCTACATACACAACAGTTACAGACCAGTAACTTGACTCTAGGCATGAACTTTGCTTACTTAAGCTGTGTGACAGCAATGATAACCAATACAAACTATTTTTACCTATTAAAGTCAGCTAGATGCAAAATGAACTTATCCTGTTCTGACAAGTCCTCATTCTATGGCACAAACATATTTCTCTTCTGTGTATCCTACACAGAGGATGGAAGATAGTAAGTGTTTGCAACTGCACTTTTAAACATTGTTTAAACAGGATGGTACTGCTACTGTCATTGTTATAGAACATTTAAGTTGGTATAATCAATTTCCCATTATCCATAATGGGAAGTTGTGACAGCATGGTTTAATCATGTTAAATCTAAGAAACTCTAATTTTCTGGGAGACTGGAAGAGTGGCAGACTCTTCACTGGCTTGAAGTAAATTCCTAGGTCTGGCACTAACTATTGTTGCATCTTCAGCAAGTTAATTTTGTCAGGTTAGGTTACTTTATCAAAAATAGGAATATTGACACTGCCTTGCACAGCTGAGAGAATTTGACATTGGTTGTAAAAAGGGTGACCCATGGCTGTGTCTGCAGTATGCAGGGTATAGTACACGATCACATATGCAGGTTTCGAAGCCAGACGTCCTGAATTTAAATCCCAGCTCTGGCACTTAATAACTATGTGATCAGGACAAGTTACTTAACCTGTCTCACTTACCTCACCTTTAAAATGGGTTAACAGCAGCAGTTATCTTAGTGTTGTTGTGAGGCTTACATAAATACATACAAAGAATTCATAATACTGTCTATAATATTGATAAAAACTCAGTAATTTTTAGCCAGTTATAATTCAGGCAATGGTTGTAAAAACTGTATTTATTTGAAAGGTGGTGGGAGGTGGAGAGGGAGAGGCAGAGAGAATGAATCTCCCATCCGCTAGTTCACTCCTCAAATGCCTGTAAGGTCTGAGGCTTGGCCAGGCCAAAGCCAAGAGCCTGGAACTCAATTTGACTCTTCCACCTGGGAGGCAGGGACTTCACTACTGGAGCCATTACCTGCTGCCTCTCAGGGTGCACATTAGCAGGAAGTTGGAATTGGGAAAAGAGCTGCGACTTAAATCCAGACATTCCAGCCTAGGATCTGGATGTTCATGCTGAGTATTAACTGACGTGCCAAATGCCCACTCTTCAATCTAGTTTTCTTTCCTTTTTTCATTGTTCTGTCAAAGGTGCTACTCCAAGGTGGCAGAAAAATGAGGTAAAATACAGGCTGTAAAGATTCAGTGACAAATTCAACAAGTTTTTATTGAATGCTAATATTCGCTAGTCACATTTAGATATACTTTATCTCATCTACTGTAACTGGTATCAAATAGTAAAAGTTTAAGATGAATTATAATGGATTTTGATGGCTTCTTTACCATATTTAATCTGTAGTGATATTCTCTAGATTATATGGTATTGTGTCCACTTGTTGCTATAGGGCATTTATTTGATCTTAGAAACTGACTGCTATTTATATCTAGGGATGCAATTTGACTTTAGAAACAAAGTAGAAAGGAATCAATACAAAATAGGGCTCAAAAGAATGATAATCTTACTACAAACAACATAACCTGGAAGTAAAATGCACATATATCAAGTAATAAACAGACTCATATTCAAATCAGTATTTCAGATATAGGATTAAAATGAGATTCAACTCAGTATCTCCACTTGCAAACCTGTAAACAAGGAAAGAGGATCATCCCATTTTCCAGTAATTAGTCAATGAATTTAATGATTATAGCAAATACAATGCTCTGTAAATGATTTTAGGCTAATGATTAACTTGCCTTCGAAAATGTAGCTTACTAGGGCCGGTGCTGTGGTGTGGTGGGTTAATCAGCGGCCTACAGCGCTGGCATCCCATATAGACACCAGTTCGAGTCCCAGCTGCTCCACTTTCAATCCAGCTCCCTGCTAGTGCACCCGGGAAAGCAGTGGAAGATGGCCCAAGTCCCTAGGCCCCTGCACCTACTTGGGAGACCCAGAAGCTTCTGGCTTCAGCCTGGCCTAGCCCCAGTTGTTGTAACCATTTAGGGAGTGAACTAGTGGATGGAAAATTTGTCTCTCCTTCTCTCTGTAACTCTTTCAAATAAATATTTAAATCTTTTAAAAAAAGAAAACCTACTTCAGGCCTCTCTCCTTCCCTTTTCCCCCTGTAAAAACAAAATGTGAACAGTGAAGAAAACTTTTAGAAACAGGAGCTAGTATTTGCTACAACTTGATTCTGAGAAGCAGCAATGCTTTCCTGTAATAAAGGTTTTTATGCTATCAAGTGCATTAGGTAAGCAGATCAAGTGCTGTGCCTTCTGTAAGTAGACATCAGTGAAATATAAGAGACTATTGCAGTCAAGAATGTGGTTCCAATCAGAACAGAATTCCTTAAAATACTGTCTCTTAATTGACCTTTTGAAGTTGGTGCTGGTCTTAAAGAAATTTGTAGTTAAAAGAGGAAAAGCAAAAACTTATTCTAGATAGCAGCCAACTGTACACCTATTTTAGGTGAGAGGCAGAATTTCAGAATTCAATTTCTACTTCTAGATGTGAGGAAAAAATATCTTAGCATCAAGATTACCCACAAATATTCTCCCATTTTCAGATGCTGAGCTCAGAATGACTATTTTATTTTTCTTTATATGTCCAGCACCTGGCACATAGTTGGCACTCATGAGTTACATTTGCTGAATGAAGAAAAAAATGCTCCTCTCTCCAAAGATAAAATACCTTTAAAACTAACTAGAATGTTTACTAGATCTATATGAAACTACATGAACTCTACTTCTATACGTATCTGACAGACTATAGTTCCTTAAGTTGGTTGATTAAATATATTTTCAAATACTTAAATAAATTTTTAAATAACAATGTTTACTGTAAAAAAAAAGTCTCTGGTTTACAACTACTGGAATGAATCGCAGAAGAACTCATATGATTGAATTTGATATTAGGCCTTTGTCTCAGATTGTTCGGTGGAATCTCTCAACTCCAATCATGATGGTTGCAATACTCTTCAGTTGTTGATCAGGTGTTTTTTTTTTTTTTTTTTTGTCTTTATTCAAAGCCCAAACCAAGATGAAAGTGGATGGAGATAATTTTTTAAATGTTCAGGAAGTGCATATATTTAAGACAGAAACATGAGACAGGGTACTTCTGTAACAGACTAAGTCTGATTGTGGCTAAGTTACATCATCTCTGGGCACCTTGGCTTTCTCATCTCTTCTATAGATTCATCCTACATTTTTTTTCTGTTTTCCTTTTAGTTTCAATCCTATGTGATTCAGTTCTAATTTAATACATGCACCAAATGAAGCACACTAACACTACACTTTGCTGGAGGTCTATCAGTTCTTAACAAATCAGGAGTGAAGGAATACTCCACTTTTTACTCCATGTCTATATTGAGGAAGAGCTCCAGTTAGCTGCAGCCATGTCTCTATGTAATTTAATAATGTAAATATAATCAGGTTTAAATGCCACAGAATGTGTTTATGAGCTTGCATACTGGAATCATCTGATGAACTTTATTTTATTGCTGCCTGAGAGTCCTGTTTAATTTGATCTGTAGCCTGGGCATAAAGACTTTTACCAGTGTTCCAGGTGATTCTACTTGACAAAATGCAGAAAGCATTAGCATAGAGCTATGAATCTCAAACTCAGTGGGGGTCAGAGTCACTTGGAGGGATTATTTAAAACACAGATTGCTGGGTCCACATTCAAGAGTTTCTGATTCAGGAGATCAGGATGAAGCCCCAAAATCTGCTTTCTCAGGTAATGGTGATGCTTTTGTCCACAGACCTTGCTTAGAGGACCACTACCAGGAAGGACATATTATTGATGCTGGCACTCGAGTTAAAATCCTGATTCCATTATCACCACCTATGAAATCTTAGGAAAATAATTTATTCTCTGATCTTTATATCAGTTCTTAAATCTCAGAGTCATGAGGCATTGACAAGAAGATCTTGATACAGTTCCTGGCACAGAATGCAATAACAAATACTAACTTCCTTTTTCTATTATACATAGCTACAAGGTGTAATTACATTAAATCAACAGCACACAAGTTAAAACTCTGCAGGAAAAGCAAACAGAGACAACTGGAACAAATAATATCTTATTAGAATTATATATACATAACAGAAAATGATAAATACAGAATGTTTTTAGTATCATGTCTTAAAAATACTTCCATTCAATTTTCAAAATGTTGAACATAATAATTTAGCTGGTAGGAACACTAGATGTAATCTAATTAGATATATCTTTAAAGAACATGAGGTTTTTTTTTGTTACAACCTATAATAGATTCTAATACCTCATCTATGATAATAATTTGTTTTCACAAAATCAGAAGAATAAACTGAATAGTATATTTGCCTAAATCATTAATATTTTGGTCTTTAATTTCCAAGAAAACCTAAATCATCAAAGTGCATCAGAATCCATTATCAGCCAAAGCAAAGCCTCTACTAATGATGGAATAGGTGTATTCTAAATTTACATATACCAATAAACAAAAAACTAAATCGCTCTCTTTCCTGCTTGTCATTTGCTTCAGTCTGTGTGTCTCAAGGTCCTCCCAGGAGTTACTGTCCAAGTCCTGAGGTGACTTCTGGCAGGTAAGCATGCCCTTTGTGGATGCTGCTGCATGTGCCCTCAGAGACAGGGAGGACCTGAGGTAGTACCTCCACAGTGGGCTGGCAGAGGTGAGAACTCGAATACTGTCAGTGTTTCTCTCTGGAATCTAGATGAGTCCGCTTGTCTAAGTAAGTCTCAGGGGGGCTGAACAGCTCAGGTCAAAGGGTATACATGTCAGGATTGTTTAAAACAAGTTTCTCTCTATATCAACAGTTGATACAGAACAAGGTCTTACTGACTTTTTAATCTTAAAACCTTGCCCTTTCCAAGGTAGCCTGATATCATTATGAGATAGTTTTCTTTTTCTGAATTCCTTAAAAAAAAAAAAAAAAGAGATGGTCACCTGCATATCTTCTTTGTTGCTGCATCAATTTGTGCATGGTATCAGTTTTCATTATTAATTACAATTGTTAACTTAATGATATACTTTTAACTTTTTATGAATTAACTATTTATGAATTTTCTTAAACTGTGAGGTCCCCAAGGGTCACCTTAACTTGTTCCTTCTCTATGGGACACTTCTCAAGTGCCTCATTTCTCAGTAACTTTTTTCTTTTGCTATCTTTGATACAAATTTGACACCAACTTATACTGCTCTACCTATGTGGCTAATTCTATTTTAAGTATTCTCTTCCCAACCAGAACCAAAAAGCTCTTTAGAATGGAGACTATACATTTTACTTCTTTGCAAAAGTATTTGGCAATGCTGATGTTTTGGCAAATAATTGCCAGACTGCGGTAAAGTCCTCATAATGCTGCAATCAGAATGATATAAGGCTTACAGTCTGGCCAGTATATAGACAATTAAAATTATTTTTTTAAAGCCAAAACATTAACCGTGGTTATTAATCCTATGTGCTTTAAAACCAACACGGTTATAAGGACATCACATTTTTGGTATTCTCTAGCATCCATATCCTCCTTCTGGGGTTTTCCCATGAAATACCCACCAAATTTCTCTACACCCTAAAACAACAGAAAACTTTCCCTTCCTTTTCCTGAGAAACAGTTTATTAATGAAAGGCCATCACCAGTGTTTAGAACTAAAGCTTAGCAATAAGGCCCTTCCACTGTAACTCAATCAGAAACAGAGTTGATTTCATGCCCATCCTGGCTGAGATGCAGTTCCTTCTCTCAAATTTTGTGTAATATTAGAAATTTAAAAAGCTGGTAAACAGCTTGAGAGGGTTCAGGTGCTACCCTGGGAGGCACTATCTTTTGTCCTTCAACAGTTTTCTTGCTGGGTTGCTTTGGCCCTATTGCCACAGCCCTGACCACAATCATTCCAGCTGACACTTTCACAGCCCTTTGAGGTACCACAAATGTCAAAAGTGAAGCCCGAAGGTTCCGTATTTATCTTTACTACCATATTATCTTTATACCTGAAAGGTTTTTTATTTTTTTTTTTAAAGATTGAGAACTGGATTATGGAAATTTGCCTCAGTTTCACCACAGCTATTAAGAGAAAAAATTTTGTCCTTCCAAGAACTTTAATTGGTTGATTGAGTATTTTAGTGCCCTAGACTGGGCATTCTCTTTTAAGGCTCACTCCCTGGTTCCCACTATACATGCTTACAAATATCTCTTTAAATTCTTCAATTAAGGTCATGCCTTAGATCAGAAACCTTGAAACCAGAGCAACTACCTCACCTCTTCAGTTCTTCATAAGGCATTACTACTACACTATCATACATGTATATGTATGTGTACTTTATATATGTATTTATCTTGTAAAAAAAAAGTAAAAATGCTCTTTTCACTCTTCTTTGTCTAATATAGGCACCCAGGTATGTAGTTAGAAATGAAATAAAGGCCACAAAAATTTCCCTAGGAAGATCATTACAAAGAAAATTCCTTTCTTCCTCTCATATCATACAGCTGGCCTTTGAGGCATGCCAGCTTAGAAATAAAGTATCACCCATGGTGATAGGAAGTCAGGACCTTTCTCTCTTTGGGTGGCAGCTGACATTTCTATCAGAAGGCCTAGTAAAATATGTATCTCTTCTTTTGCTCTAAGCAATATTTTCTTCAGCTTTCCTTCAAAAAATATCTTTACTCTCCCATTAAAATATGAAGATTTGGAGATTTTGAACAGCAAAGTTATGGGTGGGCATTGGTCACTTTAAATCATGTGTTGGCTATGTAGAGAGAGAGAAAGATATGGTAGAATGGTAGTGGAGGAGGGCTAGAGAAATGTATTTTCAATGGGAGCACTGGAGGAAAGCAAACTTTTCATAGCTGTTGCCGGTATCTCATGAAAGCCCAGGCTGCCACCATGGTGAGGGCAAACACTGGCACCAGAACCACAGCCATGGGAATGCCACTTGGCTCCCCTTCACCTCGATGTGCAAGAGGTCCATTCTGCACCTGTAACTGGAAGAGAAGGAAAACTGTTAACTCCAGTGACTAATCTATGTTTCCCACCTTGATTCTGGACCACCCAAAACTATAAGCCCCAACCACTACCCAGTAGAAGGCAGTCATGCATCAGTGACACAGGTTCTTCTGGAAAAAAAAAGTCTGAAAGGGAGGCATTTAACTTTGTTGCACTACCAACCTAAGGGGACAAGTCAGGTAACCTCTTCCTGTACTGCCTCCATCTTAACTCTATGTGTATCATAATAGCAAAAGGAAGATATGAGATGAAACCTAATGATCACATGGGAGACCTGGATATTACTGGGGAGAAGGGTACATCTTTTTGGAAATGTTTACTTAGAAAGATTATCTGTCATCAGAATGCAACAAGAGAAGACCCAGGCAATTTCAAAAAAAAGTGTGATATCTTTACTTGGAAATGTTTTCCAATTCCCAAAGGCACCCACTCTGTCCTAGATGGAGTCCTGTCCTTCATTCCCTAGTTGGCATACTAGACAGATAAAGGTCAAACCTACATGGAACAGAGGAACAAGACTCAGATAAATAAATACTAATAGTTATAATTTTCTATTACTTAAAAACATTTGAGGCGTGATGGTCTTTCTTAGTTCAGTTTTTTTTTTAGGATGGCCCTTTTTGTATCAATTTTTAGTGGCTAAGTTGTAATAAGTAACTCTGACCCTTCAGTCTGAAAGGCAAAACTGTATGAACTACCTTTTATACCCTCTACTCTATCTCTACATCTTTCATTCATTTCTTGATGAGATGTCCTCAAAGGGCATACTTGAGAGGAAGACATTAGGGCTGAGCCAATTCCTTAAACAGAAGAATCTGTTTTTTTATTTTTTTTATTTTTTGACAGGCAGAGTGGACAGTGAGAGAGAGAGAGAGAGAGAAAGGTCTTCCTTTACCGTTGGTTCACCCTCCAATGGCCGCCGCGGCCGGCGCACTGCGGCCGGCGCACCGCGCTGATCCGATGGCAGGAGCCAGGAGCCAGGTGCTTTTTCCTGGTCTCCCATGGGGTGCAGGGCCCAAGCACCTGGGCCATCCTCCACTGCACTCCCGGGCCACAGCAGAGAGCTGGCCTGGAAGAGGGGCAACCGGGACAGAATCCGGCACCCCAACCGGGACTAGAACCTGGTGTGCTGGCGCCGCTAGGCGGAGGATTAGCCTATTGACCCACGGCGCCGGCCAAGAATCTGTTTTAATAGTTGTTCTTTATGGAGGCTTCCTGAGAAGTGAACATTGGAAATCATTTCCACAAACCTTAAAAATTAACTCCAATCATGTCCGAAGTGTATGCCTATAATTACTTGCCAATCTCCTGCATAAATTCTCCCATATTTAAAAACAGAGAGGCCGGCGCTGCGGCTCACTAGGCTAATCCTCCACCTTGCGGCGCCGGCACACCGGGTTCTAGTCCAGGTCGGGGCGCCGGATTCTGTCCCGGTTGCCCCTCTTCCAGGCCAGCTCTCTGCTGTGGCCCGGGAGTGCAGTGGAGGATGGCCCAAGTACTTGGGCCCTGCACCCCATGGGAGACCAGGATAAGTACCTGGCTCTTGCCATCGGATCAGTGCGGTGCGCCGGCCACAGCGTGCCGGCCGTGGCGGCCATTGGAGGGTGAACCAATGGTAAAGGAAGACCTTTCTCTCTGTCTCTCTCACTGTCCACTCTGCCTGTCCAAAAACAAAAACAAAAACAAAAACAAACAAACAAAAAAACACCACACACCAGAGAAGAGTCAAAGAGAAGAATCAAGGTGGGAGCAGCTGTTTTCTGCTCCATCACACCCAGACTCTGTAACCCTGGCTGTTTTCACAGAGATCTTTCATGTTTGGCCTTCTCCATCTTTTCCATTAGAACCTCTGAACCTTCATTTAGCCACTGAATGAGGCAGAGTGCACCAATTTAAGCAGGAAAAGATGTAAAAGGTACACTGAACCTGTTCAATGAATACACTCGAAATCCTCAGGGCTACAGGAGAAATCATATCTACCCAGATTTCCCCTCCTGTGGGGAGCAACTGGGAGCAACTCGGACTAGACTAAGTTACTGGAATTAAGACTTATTCTATGCATCTGCTTTCCCACAATATGGCGCTGAGAAGGGAGAAACAGCTTCTACACAGCTGCCTCCAGTTCAACCAATAAACTGTAGGACCTGCTCCTGATTGGAGGAGAGCAGCGTACTCGGCGTGTGGGCAGCCGAGTTGGGATTGGTGGAAGAGGACTATAAAGGAGGAGAGAGACACCATGCACCAGGAACATCTAAGGGGAACACCTGAGGAACACCTGTGCAGCCCCCGAGAGAGCCGGCCGGCGGTGTGCCGCTCCCCCGCGGAAGTGGGGAATGTGGCAGGGGGAACCGCCCTTCCACGGAGGTGGAAGGGTCGGTAGCCAACCCGGGAAGAACCAGCAGCAAACCCGGGGAGGGCCGAGCAGACGAAAGAACAGCGCAGGGTCCTGTGTCGTTCCTCCACGAAGACGGGGAGCGACATAATGGTGCCGTGACTCGGATAAGAAACTTAGGAGGGAAGAAATGGGAAAAAGTGCGAAAATACCGGAGAGAGAGACTAGCAAAGAGCTTAGGGAAAAGCCGGACGGAAAAGGTGCGGGAAGAAGCTATCGAAAGCCTAGGCATAGACTCGGATATGGACTGTGGAAAAGAAGTTAGGATTGAAAGCTAGGATTTAAAGTGAAAGCAAGAAGAAACTTAGACTTAGATATGGACTGCAGGTTGAAAGTGAAAGTGAAACCTGGAAGAAACTTAGACTTGGATACGGACTGTGGGTGAGGCCAGGAGAAATGAGAGGGGAATATTGTTGGAAGAAAAGTTGGGAAACATACCGGGTAGAGAAAAATATGTTGGGGAGAATGAAGCCGCGGGGATAAGAGAAACAGAAGTTTAGAAGTAAAATGAGAGAAATAGGAATGCTGGCAGATAGAAGTAAACTGGGAGAAACAGGAATGCCCGGAGATAGAGAAATAGAGAAAAATAAGGCCTCCCCACAACACGGCAATGAGAGAGCTTGGATTCGGTCTGCCTGATTAGTAAGATGATAAGCACCTGCTGGCGGCTAGCAGCTTACCTGCTGCAGGTCACCGAAGACAGGCACGTTATCAACATCAATAAGTCTCCCTACAATACGGCAATGAGAAGGCTTGGATTCGGTTTGCCTGATTGCTAGGGCTTGTAAGCACCTGCAGGCAGTTCTAGCAGAGCAGAGCATGCGCTGCAGGGCACCGAACACAGGCATGCATCAGCGCCTAAAAACCTCCTCACAACATGGTGAAGAGAGGACCCGGATTCGGTTTGCCTGATTGGTAGGGCTTGTAGGCACCTGTGGGCAGCTCTAGCAAGCAGAGCAGAGTGTGTGCCACAGGGCACCGAAGACAGGCGCGTATCAACGCCAAAAATAAAAAGAAAGGGGGATCTGTGGTGAGCAACTGGGAGCAACTCGGACTAGACTAAGTTACTGGAATTAAGACTTATTCTATGCATCTGCTTTCCCACAATATGGCACTGAGAAGGGAGAAACAGCTTCTACACAGCTGCCTCCAGTTCAACCAATAAACTGTAGGACCTGCTCCTGATTGGAGGAGAGCAGCGTACTCGGCGTGTGGGCAGCCGAGTTGGGATTGGCGGAAGAGGACTATAAAGGAGGAGAGAGACACCATGCACCAGGAACATCTAAGGGGAACACCTGAGGAACACCTGTGCAGCCCCCGAGAGAGCCGGCCGGCGGTGTGCCGCTCCCCCGCGGAAGTGGGGAATGTGGCAGGGGGAACCGCCCTTCCACGGAGGTGGAAGGGTCGGTAGCCAACCCGGGAAGAACCAGCAGCAAACCCGGGGAGGGCCGAGCAGACGAAAGAACAGCGCAGGGTCCTGTGTCGTTCCTCCACGAAGACGGGGAGCGACACCCTCCCATCATGCAAATTCTGAAATACTAAAAAGAAAGAAGTGAATGCAGGAATGGATGAAGTCTTGACTGAGTTCTGAATTGCACTTTTTTTTTTTTTAAGATTTTAGTTATTACGAGGCAGAGTTACAGATAGAGAGAAAGGTCTTCCATCCACTGCTTCATTCCCCAAATGGCCACAATGGCTGGAGCTGGGACAATTTGAATCCAGGAGCCAGGAGCTTCTTCTGGGTCTCCCACATGGGTTCAGGGGCCCAAGCACTTGGGCCATCTTTCACTGCTCTCCCAGGCCATAGCAGAGGATCAGAAGAGGAGCAGCTGGGATATGAACCAGTGCCCATAGGAGATACCGGTGTGACAGGCAGAAGTTTAGCCTACTATGCCACAGCACCGGCCCCACCATTTTCTCATTAGAGCTCCCCTCTGAGCACTACAGCTTTGGTCAAAAGTGTCACCAGGTTGGTAAGAAGATCCATAGATGTGATAGGGAAAATCAGGGGCCAGTGTTGTGGTGCAGCAAGTTAAGCCAATGCTTGTAATGCTGGCATTCCATACTGGAGTGCCCATTCCAGTCCCCAGTACTTTGCTTCTGATCCAGTTCCCTTATAATGGACCTGAGAAAGCAGCACATGACCCAAATACTTGAGCCCCTACCACCCAAGTGGGAGCACCCAGATGAAGTTCCAGGCTCCTGGCTTTGGCTTGATTTAGCTCCCACAGTTGTAGCCATTTGGGGATTGAACCAGTGGATGGAAGATCTCTCTCTCTCTCTCTCTGCCTTTCAAATAAATAAATAAATAAGAAAAAGGACATCAGATAGCAGGCACCAGGCATTTCACCATTGTTGTAGTTACAATTGTAGAAATTGTTATAAATTAAGAGTTTTAACAGAAGATATGGGGGCCGGCGCTGTGGCACAGTGAGTTAATGTCCTGGCCTGAGGTGCCAGCATCCCATATGGGCACTGGTTCTAATCCTGGTTGCTCCTCTTCCGATCCAGCTCTCTGCTATGGCCTGGAAAAGCAGTGGCCCCTACAAGTCCAAGTCCTTGGGCCCCTACACCCATGTGGGAGACCCAGAAGAAGCTCTGGCTCCTGGCTTTGGGTTAGCGCAGTTCCAGCCATTGTGGCCAATTGGGGAGTGAACCAGCGGATGGAAGATCTCTCTCTCTCTCCCTCTCCCTCTCTCTCTGTCTCTACCTCTCTCTGTAACTCTGTCTTTCAAATAAATAAAATAAATCCCCTTTAAAAAAAATCAGATATGATTCTCCCACTACCAAAAAGTAAAAAAAATGCTTCTTTTTTTTTTCCCCTGCATCAATTTCAATCTGGTTGTCTTCAAGGCATATATTACCTCGAAACTAGGACCTGAGTGTCAAGCATACTGTTTAGTGTCAAGCACACTGCTACCAAATGTCCTTTAAGATGAACAGAAGGGGCTGGAGTTGTGGTGCAGTAGGTTAAGCTGCAGCCTGTGACATGGGCATCCCACACGAGTACCAGTTTGAGTCCTGACTGCTCCCTTCCAATCTAGCTCCTTGCTAATACACCTGGGAAAGCAGCAGAATGTGGCCCAAGAACTTGGACCTCTACTACTCATGTGAGAGACCAGGATGGAGTTCTGGACTCCTGGCTTCAGCCTGGCCCAGCCCTGGCCATTATGGCCATTTGGGGAATGAGCCACCAGATGTTCCCCCACCCCCTGCCTCTAACTCTGCCTTTCAAATACATAAAAAAAGATGAACAGAAGTACAAGAGGGTCTCTGTAAGTTCTTCAAAAAAGTCAAAGGGAAAGGGAAAGGGAAAGGGAAAATTAACAACCACACAAATACCACTGAAGATTACATGCAGTTTAATCACAAGAATGGTGCAAAGGCCTGGTGGCAGGTCTCCGGCTGCAAGTAACACCTACCCTGTGCTGTACTCTCAGGGACACAGCATAGCCTGCGTTACGAAAGAGGTCTACAGCATCCTGATGCAGGAGGTTCTTTAGGTCCTGGCCATTTACCTGTCAGAGGAGAGTCATAAGAGACAGGTTAATTTTCGTAAGTCAACAATTTACTTTTATGCAGCCAAACCTTTAAAAAAAAAACTAACTCCTACCAGGTATATTCTAAGTGTCAGGAGTATGGGTAAAGTTACTTAGAACTCAGAGTAGCTTTTTTCATTTTCAAAGCTTTGTTTTCCTAGAACTGAGGTTCCATGGGCCATGTGAAGAGATCCTATGTTAAAATAAAGTGGTTTCTCCTTCCTCTTCTATGCCTGTCTCACTAATGTACTTTTTGTCATCCATGAACATTATGCTGCTTCCCTACAGCTAAAACAACCTTCCAGGTTACTACCCCATCCTTTATATTCCTAATTCTTGGCATTGCCATCTTCAATTGTAGAAATACAATTCTACACAAAATTTTCCCACAATTTATTCTGATGTGGTGCAAATCTATATAGGTCCATAGCACTTATTCAATAGTGTTAAATATTTTCCGTGATTTCATGGACACTCCTATCCTTCTCACATTTGCTAAAAACCATGTTTCTGTGATAATACAAACCCTTAAAAAATTCAATTTAGGACACTCCTACCATATAGAAGTGAGACATGTGAAGGAATACTGGTACTTAAACTTTTTGGTGTTAGGAGAGACACTGGTCACAAGTGGTATCTAACTTGTGCTGTACTCACTGACACAGTACAGCCACCTTGTGCAAGATTACCTATCTTTTACACATGTCAATGCCAACATCAACAGCAACAGAAGCAAGAGTATCTTATTTATTTTATAGGATCTGTGTTGTACATAAATTACCTAATTTATTTCTCACAATAATCCTATGAGGTTGACACTATTTTCATCTTCCTTTTACAAGTGAAGAAACTGAAGCTTAGTGCGATTGCTGAATAAGAGTAGGTAGGAGTAGGGTTTCTAAAAAATAGGGGAATACCAAAATGCTCTTGCATTTTATTGTTTCTTCTACACTACTATTCCTCCTCATCGACTCACCAACTATTCCCAGCTCAGGTGAAGCTCAAGCCTTTGGATTTTTGAACCTTCTTATTTTCCTTGTCATAATCTTCCTTTTCCATTAGTTCATAAGTATCCCTCCCCCATTTTCACCTCCTGAGATCCTTGGTCAATGAATCTACCTATATTTTTGCCTGACAGATGGTATACCTTCTCAACAGTTTCAAGCTCCATTCCACTTCAGTCAGCAATTGATTGACATAAATTCAGACTTCAACATTAGATATGCTTCAGCTCTTAATATCTCAGACTCTTAAAAACCTGACCATAACCCCTACTCTTTTCACACTTCCCATTTCTCTACTGAATTTCCCTTTTATCCTCTTCAAAGTCTTTATCTTTTTACATTTTATCTGCATTCTTACCCATCTAGGAGCTCTGGCTGTAACTGTGAAAAAGTACTTGTTAAATCATTAGAGGCCGGCGCCGCGGCTCACTAGGCTAATCCTCCGCCTTGCGGCGCCGGCACACTGGGTTCTAGTCCCGGTTGGGGCGCTGGATTCTGTCCCGGTTGCCCCTCTTCCAGGCCAGCTCTCTGCTGTGGCCCGGGAGTGCAATGGAGGATGGCCCAAGTAATTGGGCCCTGCACCACATGGGAGACCAGGAGAAGCACCTGGCTCCTGCCATCAGATCAGTGTGGTGCGCCGGCCGCAGCGCGCCAGCTGCGGCGGCCATTGGAGGGTGAACCAACGGCAAAGGAAGACCTTTCTCTCTGCCTCTCTCTCACTGTCCACTCTGCCTGTCAAAAAAAAAAAAAAAAAAAAATCATTAGAGTTCCTTGTCCTCATAATTTTCTGCCATCCTTCCAGTGCTGGGCAACACAATGAATCTACTTTCCTTGCCATTACTGAGTGGAATATTCTTGGAGAAAGATACAGTCACACTCTCTATCATAGATCCCAGCTAACTGACTCCTGCTTATCCTTAAAACTTGTCTTCTACTCATTTAAGAAACTCCCTAAAACTCTCTTCTCTCAAGAGACTCCTTTGTTCCTTTTTTTATTTTTATTTATTTATTTATTTATTTATTTTTTGTGAGATTACTTCTGACACTCTCTCCCTTTTCTTTTCTTCCCCGTCATAGTTTTGGGATATCTGTTCACTGCTCCTTTCCCTCTCTGGATTAGGTCATTTCTTTATCAAGGTTAAGTTATCTATAGATGCTCTTCATCACATCCCTTTTAGCCTCTTACAGACCTCATGATCACTTTTTGCCTGATTCCTTAATTCCTTTATTGCTCTCTTAACTTAAATCATCCTCCTCTATGAAGAAAACAATACAAGTATGTCTTGGAACCCACTATCATCATATTCCCATCTTCTCTCTTCTTTCACTACAAAACTGTTTGCATGCATTGCCTTCACTTCCTCAGCACTCATTCACTCTTTATTCCCTTGTAATCTCAAAATATGTAGGTGGGAGGGAAGAACATGCCCTCGTGAAGCTCAGCAGTGACTTCCACTCACCAGATGCTACAGAGCCCTTTCTCAGATTTCATACCATTTTTTAATACTTATTTATTTATTTGAAAGGCAGAGTTACAGAGACACACACACACAGAGAGAGAGAGAGAGAGAGAGAGAGAGGTATCTTCTATCTGCTGGTTCACTCCCCAGATGGCCGCAACAGCTGGAGCTGGGCTGATCTGAAGCCAGGAGCCAGGAGCTTCTTCCCAGTCTCCCACGCAGGTGCAGGGGCCCAAGGACTTGGGCCATCTTCTACTGCTTTCCCAGGCCATAGCAGAGAACTGGATCGGAAGTGGAGCATATTGGATGCCGGCATTGCAGGTGGTGGCTTTACCTGCTACGCCACAGCACCGGCCCCAATCATTTCTTGCTCTTTTTAACTTTCTCCTATTTTGGCTTATAAGCACTTAGCTCTCTTAGTCCTTTGACTACTTTCCTGATTCCTCTCCCCTTTCCTCCTTCTTAGGTAAGGAAATGTACTTCACTGTCACTGCTTCATTCTTTTCCTTTCTCTTCTATGGTGAATTTTCACAATTTCAACCATAATCTGTAAGTTTACAAAACCCCAAAGTTTTTATTCTTGCTTATACTTCTGGATTGGCCAATTTCCTACTGGAAGTCTATTCTTGAATATTCTGCTAAATGTTACTTCAATATATCAAAGCCTCTTTGTAACTTTATACAAAACCAAAACATGCTGACTAATTTCCTATTACCACTACCATTTATTCAGACTAAAATTTGTAATTTTTAAAATTTCTTCTATTCTGGCAATAGTCACATATAATACGGGATACTTTTGGAAAGCAGAATTAAAAGATAAATTTTGGTGCAAAGAATTTTGAAATCCAAGCAAAAGAGCAAAGGAGGGGTCTTTAAAAAGTTCATGATAAAGGTACATTATCAAATACTATACAAGGGCATCAAAAATGTTCCACATCAAAAAAAGCTCATCTTTTAATTCCATTTTCTATGAACCATGAACTTTTGGAAAAAATGTGTTTTAATCTTTTATTTATTTGAAAGGCAGAGAGACAAAGATCTTCCATCTGCCGATTCATTCCCCAAATGTCTGCAAAAGCCAGGGTTGGGCCAGGCAGAAGCCAGGAGCTGGAAACTCAATCTGGTTCTCCCACTTGAGTGGCAGGGGGCTAATCACTTGTGTCATCACCTGCTGCCTCCCAAGGTGCACATTAACAGGAAGTTGGAATTTGAAGTGAAGTTGGGACTCAAACCCAAGCACTCTGAAATGGGAAGCAGGCATCCCAAGTGGTAACATAACTGCTATGCCAAATGTACACCCTCCATCCCCGTGAAGTTTTTTATGTACCTGTGTATACTGTCACAACCTGCAGTCTAACACTTATAAAAAGAGAGATTTATTTATCTGAAAGGCAGAGACATTTCTCTTGGGGTATTTTGTTTCCTACTGCTTCTCTATTCTAGGATACGGACACTCTTAATGGAATCACTGTGATTATCTTCTCCTTGGTTTACTTTCCTCTGCATCTTCCCCCGTTCCAATCTATTTTACCACTGTGTCTCCAGATAAGTCTCCCTAAAGTATACTTCCTTAGACAACAGAATACAGTTGTATTCTAGTTTTCAAAAAATAGGCTGGCGCCATGGCTCAATAGGCTAATCCTCTGCCTTGCGGCGCCGGCACACCGGGTTCTAGTCCCGGTCAGGGCGCCGGATTCTGTCCCGGTTGCCCCTCTTCCAGGCCAGCTCTCTGCAGTGCAGTGGAGGATGGCCCAAGTGCTTGGGTCCTGCACCCGCATGGGAGACCACGAGAAGCACCTGGCTCCTGGCTTCGGATCAGCGCGATGTGCCGGCCGCGAGGGCATTGGAGGGTGAACCAACGGCAAAAGGAAGACCTTACTCTCTGTCTCTCTCTCTCACTGTCCACTCTGCCTGTCAAAAAAAAAAAAAAAAAAAAAAAAAAAAAAAAAAAAAAGTTAGGAAGCAGTGAAAGAGTGCATGCCTGATTTCTCATGCTGGTAGGCAAAACCCTACAGGAAATAACTAACTCAGCTTGTTGGTTCAACTAGGCACTCCTAAGTTATATAAACCAGCCAAATACTTTCCCCCTTTTCCAAATTCCATTTATCCTCCAAGATTGATCTTTTTTTTTTTTTTTTAAGATTTTATTTATTTATTTGAGAGGCAGAGTTACAGACAATCAGAGGGAGAGACAGAGAGAAAGGTCTTCCATCTGCTGGTTTATTCCCTACGTAACTGCAACAGCCAGATCCAAAGCCAGGAGCCAGGAGCTTCTTCTGGGTCTCCCACGCGGGTGCAGGGGCCTAAGCACTTGGGCCATTTTCCACTGCTTTCCCAGGCCATACCAGAGAGCTAGATTGGAAGAGGAACAGCTGGGACTAGAAATGGCACTCATGTGGTATGCCGGCACTGAAGGCAGATGCTTAACTTACTGCACCAAGATTGATCTTTAAAAGGGTCAGTCCTTTTAAAGATACATGAATACATGATTTTTTTGCTGATGGACTTTGCT